TCCGGTATTCCGATATATTAATACAATCCGTTAACAGAGGGCAGCACAACGCGTAACAAAGAAAACTTTCTACAGTAGCTAGTAGATACCTCTGTTTGTAAATCTAGTGACCTTGTTTCCCCTACTGAGAAGTTGTTCAAATGGAGTATAGTGCTCAGCTGCATTTAAAGTTCATTTAGTTGTTATTTAAGTATACTTTGCCCTCTGTTAATGGATTGTATTAACATATCGGAATACCGGAGTGGGAATTGTATAAGTAGTGACATCTAAAGAAAAGTCAAACGACGAAAACAAAGATGCCCATCGGTCGCTGAATTACAAGTGGAAGTGGATCTTATTTGTGGAAGGGCGAAATGGGCGGTAACTATGGACGCTTATTCCGAAAGCTTAAGTATTAAAAAAGTGTTTACACATTCAAGTTGGCTTTGACTGCATACCCGACTATAAGATTTATTTTCACTTTTTTACACTTTTGGGAGTTTTATTTTTAACTTTGAACTTTAATTTTATTTTTAAGTAACACTAGGTGCTAAAAAGATATGATTTAAGAGTTGATTTAAGTGACAGAGGTCTAGAGCAATGCTAAGATGATCTAAGGCGAACTAAGATGATTTTTGGTTTGCTATAAGGGTTATTTTATAAGTTCATTTAGTCTTAGGACAGCAAAAGCTGATGAGAAGCAATAAGTTTCTTGGAACTCATTGGTAACTTGGCAATGGTCTTTTGTTCTAGTGCTTATCTTTATACAATACAATGTCGCGTCCTTACTAAGTCCGAAATGAAATGGAGGCGGCAGCATTTAATTAGAGAAATTAGAAAATACAAAAAATGCCTGCGTTTTAATTAACTTTGTCGTTTTAAAACTTTCATCATTTAATAGCAGACTATAAATTTGTATTAATTTTTTAGTTTAGATTTAATACAAATTAATTAAGAGGAATTGTATTTTTTTAAAGCTTTTCATTATTTAATAGTAGCCACTAATAAGTACGCTATAAATATGTAAAAGCATAAAAAAATTTAACTATTACAACCAGATGTTCAAATTTTTGCAGTTGGTATGTTTAATATAAAATAATTAAAAAGTCTTAAATATTTTTCATAATGATTTCTAAATGTTTGTAATGTTTCCTAATAATATGATCAATTTTTGCCTCTCTTGAAGTCTATCGTGTAGTTTTCATTCCTCTTCCATAAATATTGTCATACCAATGGATCCTTTACTGGTTTACTGACAAGATATATCTCTCGACTTCTTAGGCTATCATTAAATTTTTCAATGCCTTCTTTTTCAAAATTATAAGTAAATCGTCGTGGTAAGTAGGTGACAAAGTCCTCGGTTTCTACTAGTATACTTTCACCATATCTAGTTTTACTCACTCTTAACTGCACAACTGCAACTTCTGATTCAATAATAATTCTTTAACGTTTCTGAAAACTTTGAAAGATGTTTCTCAATTTAATTTCTGAAGATCCATTTCGATCGAAGATTCTTTTATAACTAAATAATACTTTATAAAACATGTGTTTCGCATAAGAACCGACACAGAGTAGAGGCATGTTGGGGAAAATATGTCAAAATAACTCTAGAGACCGACCTATTAATCGGCTTCGGCATCGGCTTCGGCTACATTCGGCCAATATTTAAACCGTCGGCGAAGAATCGGCTTCGGCCAAAATTAAGCCGAACTTTTCGCCGAAGCCGACGATACTGTTCGGGACGCCGCTGGAGTTAACAAATCTAATCAAATTAGGGTTAAATTAGCCCCTTAACACTACAAATAACACTGCCAAATTACAACAAAATTGGGTAATTTGCCTAAAGTTATTTTGAGAATATTTGTTTCATCAATAATATAATATTCAGTATGCCGCATTATTGTTTTCAGAAAATAGTTTTATTCACGATGACAGATATTAATAAATTAACTTTATACATAAAAAATATGTCATTTCCTGAATGTTTTTACATAAAAATATTGTTTTTTAAGAAAATTGTTTATTGGTACCATTATTTTTTTTTAATTCGTGAAAAATTACCAGGATTACGAATATCAAAGCAGCTTTAAAAAATATTAATTCTTCGCAAAGTTTGAAAAACCTTATAAACAAATTACCCTATTTGTTTACACGCCGTTTTGAGGAGGTTAGCCTATGAAATTACAAATTCCAAATACATATCTTGAAAATATAAGTCAAGACGAAACAAATGAGCCCTCATAAGGCCCTTTATTATAACGCTAATAACCGCGTTTTTGCAATTGAAAAAATGCTATTTCTAATAAACAAATGCAAAAACTCAAATAAATATTTTTTTCCCAAATTTTCAGGGTTTCTTAAGCGCAACAAAATACAACTTTTACTGCAGTTTAGAGACGATTTATTTATGCTCTGCTTCTATTTATGACAAATTCAAATTTCGCTGTTTTTTTGCAATTATTTAAACAAATTGTTAATGGATTTTGTTTTAGCAGGTCTCAAATGAAGCATTATTTGAAAACCTATAAGTATAAACAAAAGCAAAAACTCCTGTTGAAGAGCGCTTTTTAATACAGTTAAAAAATCTCCATTTTGGTAATTTTTACATTATAATCATTGTTTAAACAATGATCTTGTTGTTTTAAACCGATACTTTTTGGGAAATATTATTTATGTTTTCCTAAACTAACGATTAAACCAAGTTTCAATCTGAAACGAATTTTTTTTCATTTACTGGGCTATAATTAGTACTAATGACATTACAGGGAACAACTACTCCGCGTACTAAAGCCCCGTTCAGCACTGAATTGCACCCGCAATATCTAGTAAAAATGTTAACTCAGATTAATTAATAATAATAATTATCCAAAAAATAATCATCGAAGTATTTTTACTGATATTTTTAAATAATTAAATAAAATTTCAAAGAAATTACCTCTTTTCTTGTTTCTAACAACTTGGCTTTGTCAAAGATAAACTCACGTAAAGAGCCATATTAAATAAGAATAAATGAGATGAATATTTCTTCATTTTAAGAATAGCTTTTTCAACTAGCCTCCTTTTTAAAATTGGTTTTGATACCTAAATAGCTATAAATACTGGATAATACGTAAAACAAAATATTTTTATGGACTGTAAATTTTAAACAAATATTGTACTTTTAGAACATTTATCTATTCATTTCAATTCATACCCGTAGTAACGATAGGGATACGTTTATATTATTTGAAAGAATAAAACGAGAATTAGTTTACTAATTAAATTGCTATTACGATATAATATTACGAAAATATACTGCTATACTATACACCTTATGATATATATTATTAAAATGGTGGAATCATGACAAAAAACAGTATCTTCAATTTTATTTATGTAATTAAATTAAACCAGGTATTCAAAATTCTTACCATAGAAGGCAGTTCTCTATAATTAATGTTTTTAGTTTATATCATAAAGTGGAAAAAAGGACAATATTACACACGTTAAATATTAGGAATAAAGTGACTTTGTATACACGTGATTTTGCGCATGCGTCAAGATAAAATCAATTTTATAACAACTGCTCGTTCACCTATATTTTAAAGATGTTTGATAGAAAAGGAGTTTCTAAATTTTTCCCGAAATGTTATAAATTTAATATACTTATACATACATGTATCAACGTTTATAGCTTATAAAAAATTGCATTGAAGCCTCACGTGCTGTTGTAATTGTCTGTCCTTTTTTGTCTACGAAAGAAGAGGAAAGAAATGGTAAGTAAAAATAGTTGTTCATATGCCTTTGAGGAAAGAAACGTTGCATGAATAACATAATTACTAGTAATTAAAATATTAATGAGATTAAGTAAACAAAACAAAATTTTTGTAAATATGCATGCACAGGGTTATCCGTATTTTTTTATGCTGGTATACTACTATGCTATTGCAATTAGAAAACTGAGTAAAATCCTTTTCTTTGGGAAAAAAATTCATATACTTTTGCAGAGCCTGATAGGAATAGAAACATAAAAAGAAAAGAGGTTCGATTTCGAACATAAACTTTTAAAAAAATATGAGTTTTTGTTTAGTCTGGATTTAACTTCATTCTAATGTTAAATATTTTTAAATGGTATTAAAAACAATTTTTAATACAACTTTAATACAATTACATTCTAAGATAATTTTAATTATCTTTAGAGACAGAAAACTAACCAAGACAACTTTATTTTAACTTTTATCGTTAATAATGCGTGTGTTATGATTTAATACATAATTTTTTGTATTTTCAATGTTATTTCTATCTTTTCATAATTTATTATATCATTACATAAATAATATATTAAAGACAAATTATGTCTATGACTACTTAATAGTAAATATTAACTTGTTTAAGTATTAACAGTAATTAAATAAGTGCAGATAGAATGTTGACGATTCCATTTTATAAGTAACAATTATTTTTTAGAGCATACTGTTCAAATTTTAAATTTATACAATTTGTAACTGCCTTAAGTGAAAATACCAACAAAAACATTTACCTAGTCCAAATTACAATTATACAGGGTGTTCTGAAAGTCCATCAGGAAACTCCGGGAGGTGATTCTACGGATTAAAATAATAACATTGTGTAATGAAAATTGTTTTTGAATTGTCAATTGTTTGCAAGTTACAGCTTGTCAAAGTTTAATTTTTTAATTTTTCTATTTAAATAACATCTAATTCAAGTTATATTAGTCTCTCATTTGGCACACCCACTAAGTAGATGAATCTGTATTGGACCAGTCAGAGAAAAGTTTCATTATGCGCCGCTAGAGGGCACTATACCTAGAACTCAAAATTTGTTTTGTTCATAACTTTTTTCTCTTCCTAGACATCTCAGAAATTTATTATTGAACGTTATTGAACAGAGAAACAATATCACAAAAAATTGTGTACTTTTTATTCAAGCCGATAAATTAACCGTTTAACAGGAAATCGCTATTAAAGTGTTATTAAATATCAAAATTTGTATAATTGTTTCTGCAATTGATCAAGTTGCCATGCTGTAATACCTTCTTTTGTAAAACAGCTTCGTTAGTAAACAAAATATTGTTAGTAAATTCATTATCCTCATTAAGAAAGAAAGAAAAAAACAGTATTTGCTTGTACCTCGGAAATGACTCGAAATATCAAAAAATCTCCCCTGATTGGTGATCGAGTAAAAAACGTCCGAAATCCGCATGTCGAAAAAAAAATCGGGACAAACTTTGTGTGTTATATTTCTTTGTATGTGTGTTGAATCGAAGAAATAATTGATAAAATCTAGCCACGCCCATGATTCTAATTGTCCTTCTGCGTTGAATGCAAAAGGTCCGAAGTCCGTCTGTTGAAAAACCAAAAAGTTAATCAATAATTGCAACAGCAGTAGCGGACGCATTATCTTATCTTTCATTGATTGATGATTTGTTTTTTTTTTAATAAATTTCATATCAACCACCCCTTGAGGTGCCAACAATTTATTTTTTTTATTAAATAAATAATTAAGGTACTATTCTTAAGGACATTTTAAATTCTTTATTTTTTTTGAAATAAATAATTAGGTAAATTCATAGTTTAATTGTAACATGATTTATTTTATTTAGCATTTAACGCAAATGTCATTTCCAGACAAAAGATAAGTTCCATATAACTCTTCAATTATATAATTAAATGCAGTTACCACGTTAAATTTTATTGCTGAATGCCGGCTAACAAGACCCTGTATCCATTTTAGGTTGCCAATTTCCAGCTTTTAAAGCGCGGTCTGTGGCGATAAGCTATATTGTCTGTGATATATATAATCAAGTCCTCCAGATAAATTTAGCACGTGTAATAAAAAACGTATAAACGTATAATAAAAAAGCATAATAAACATATAATAGAAAATATTCAATACATATATTAAAAAATTCTAGTCTGGTTACGAGTACTGACTCTTCCTCGTTGTCTTGTCCAGTTGGCCAATAATGTATACATGAAAATAATCAGGGGCCAAATCACAATGACCAAACAATATTGTATATGTATGTATGATAAAAAATTAGGATGAAATCTACCAATATAACTTATACTAGAGAATGATTAAAATTTTCGTCAGAAAAAAAGGTAAAAGTATCACCCTGTATACACACTTTTGGAGAAATTATGTACTAGCACAAAATAAAATAATAATAAACTTGGTAAACAAAACATCACCCTGTAGGTGACTAAATAGTATTTTTGAGGTCAATAAATGAGTATACTAATAAAAATTATAAATAAAATACCGAAAAAAATAGCAAAAGCATTAGCTGATTACGCGAAATAAATATTTTGATGGAATGAAATTAAAAATTCTTTTACAAAATGAAAGTTACTAGCAAATAGAAGTGAGGGAACAAATCCTAAATTTAAAGTTAACTTTGAGAAATAAATAATTACAAATGACTAATGCAAATAAAAGTCCCCAAAATTTATAAAATCCATTATAATGAGTGTTGCTTTAAATCAGACCTAAATTAAAGTTAGAGAGCGCTGCTAAACTCTACTATGTTCAAAAAAATTGACCGTTACTCGAATTTGCAAAATGAATCTCCAGACGGATATGACGTAGTCTACTAAAGATTCTAGAATGGTTCGGTACCAACAAAAAATATAATAAAAACTGTAACGCTGTGCTCCGCGATTGATGGATGGTATGAAAACTTAGTACGTTTTCTGCGTATTTCGGAAAGATACTGATAAAAACATATTATCGGTATATGACGAAGTTGTCAGTGAACAGTGCGATACCCTTCACTATATTGTTAATTAATTTATGTTGTTTCAGTACGGCTTCGTCAATTATGCACTAGAACTGCTTGTAACTAAAACATTTGGTGATGAGACTTGGGAATTAATTAAGTAAGTATACTTTAAGAACCATTACTCAGAACCATTCTTATATTATAACTTAATTTATACAATATTATTTTTTCTTAAAATATATCAAAATAAATAAACTTCGAAATAACATAATCAATGTTTTTCATTGTTATAATCGATTTTAAACGTACAGTATTATTCTTTAGTAGTGATAACGATATAGGTTTTGGAATTGACGCATATATACCTCACTAAATAAACTTATAAATAAATTATACACCGGTTGGTCTTTAAACAAGCAAAATTTCAACTTTCCTCTAATAGCTCCAGAGAGGTTCGAGGTAGAACGAGTAATAAGTATTTGACCCCTCGTTGTTTTTTTCCAAAATTTTACTGCCTTAAACATCCATTTAGGCCTTATTGTATCTTCTGAGTTTTCTTTTTTTATACGAAAGTCCACGGAGGGGATTTTTTAGCACCTTTTGCCTAAATGGATGAGGAAAAAACAGAAAACTAACAAAACAATCTCAGAAACTATTGCTTTCCTGTTCAATGTCAAGCGGCAAAATTAATTTATAAAAATTATGTTTATTTTTAGAGAGATTTTATTACGTCATCATTATCGCCATCCTCTTCCTTCTTCTCCCCCTCCACCACAACCACCACCACGTTTTAATGAAAAATGCATTTCTACAGATAAAAGAATGGCGTACTATCGGACACAAAGGTAATGAGCAGTCACTGCATTTATCTCAAAAACTAAGGAGCAGAAATTTTGAACAAAATTGCAATTGTTGACAATTAGTCACCAAAATTTGAGAATATTAGGTTGAACCGTACGGAAGATTCTTCGATGTATGCTCAGAAATGTGTCCATTTCTTACTTTTCCCTTACTTTAAAACTTAATTTGTTATTTCTCAGAAATCACTAAGTATTTTTTTGTGAAACTTTGTTATATGAAGATTTATGTTTATTATACGTGGTATATTCTTAAGTTTTTTTAACAAACGGATTGACAGTATTTGCAAAAATATGTCACCATATTTACTCAGTTGAGGATATCAAAAAATCGTTTCGCGATCCAAAATTCGAAGCAAACAAAAATCTTCCAAAAAATACATATTTTTATAATTTGGTTAATCTTTTGGTCGTTTGATAAAACAGTTCATGTGTATTCAAATTCTCATCAGTTTTACTGAGAGGGTATATTGTAGGTTTGTAGAAAAATATTCACACGCTTTCAGTAATTGTTTGTTAAAAGTTATCAACAAATTAGATTAAAAATAGTATACAGGCTGTTACAAATTCGCTTCTCATTACAGGGATCTTGGAAACGGTAAGGGATAAGCAGTAGCTTAAATGGGGGCCACGTTGCATGGTAATCAGGGTACCAACATTATGCCTCTAAAAACTCAAGGCTAACATGATTAATTTTTGAAATATTTAAAAAAAGCCGAAATTTTCATTCAGTCTTGTTTGAGTTGATATTGAAAAAAGAAGAACACTTTTTCATGGCAACTTTTTGCACTCTATGGAATGGCATAATCAATTTTTATATTTAACTTTTCGTCTCTCCAGGACCATCATCAATTTCATTTTTTTAAATACGACCCTGCAAATTTTGTTACATTTTTTGCAAGCTTTCATGACTCCCAATAATGTACTGCCTCAGCCCGAATCAGATTTAGACGTTTTCATCTTCAATGTATTCGTTCCAAATTTATCAATTTTTTTTTAGATTTCTATGTTTGTTGAATTATCGTACACTCTAAGTGTCGTAAAATTCAGTTTCAATTTTGTGCATATATTTTCATACGCATTATTATTAAAAGAAAAGTAAATGCCCCAGAAAGTATGAAAATCGCGCAAGTATTGAAAAGAACATGATTTGGGTGGCGTCCAGTCAGTGAAACCAAAAAGTGGTAGAGAAATATTGGATCTTGACGATATTTTTCAAGGAATTATACGAAAAGAACATGATATTTACATTAATTAACAAAAGGTTTCCAATTATAAAATAATCATGTGAGCAATTAAATGAAAATCTTCCTGCTTTAACAAAATTTATTTTCACAACACATTCTTAGGGAGTAGTTTACAACTCTCCCTTCTTATCATATATATCTTTCTAAAGTAAGGATTTAAAAATTAGTATCAACCGGAAAAGCTTGCGCTCATTCCCCCTGACGCGCCACGTTGGTAGGTAGTTGCAATATCTGAATGATGTGGGAGGTGGAGACTAACACAGGGAAGCACTCATTTATGTTTACTTAACCGTTTAATATTCTGGACTGAATATAATAATGCGTCCGCGGTTTATATTTAATATTAATTTAAAATAGGCAGTTATGTCTATATAAATATAATTGTTAAGTAAAATGATATGATGTTATTAATAAAATATAGTTTAATGGGATATTAATATAAATCGTCCCGTGAAAGATGTGACATCGTCTTCTGGCAATGAAGTTGATATTGGGTAAACTATTTGGTATAGATTGCGACAATAAGTTCTATGCATATAATGCGGGAATTGGCAATATAGGTACATCCAGTAGTTGGATCCAAACGTTAGAAAGTCCGACTGATTCAGGATTTGATAGTGTCAACTGTCTTATTTCCTTGGCTAAGTTGACAAGAGAATTTATCCCTATAGTGTTTTAAGTGTAGTGGTACTTCTTTGTTTATTGTTCCAATACTAGTCTTTAAGATAAACGCAATCAAAGTGGCGCCTCAATACCTTTACATCTAATATTACTTAGTACATATTTTCAAGTAGATATGTATTCATACATGCTATTTTTTGATATGGTGTAATATGATTTCAGAAAAAATGCGGACGTTCAAATGGAAGGTCAGTTTTTAGTTCGTCAAATTTATGAAGATGAAATAACTTATAATTTAATATCAGCAGCAGTTGATATATTAAGTAAGTATTGGCTGTATATTATAGATATTTATATATAAACATATACTTTTTTAGAGATTCCTGCTAATACAATATTAGAACTATTTGGGCGAACTTTTTTTGAATTCTGCCAGGATTCAGGTTATGATAAAATATTACAAGTTCTAGGTGCAACACCAAGGGATTTTTTGCAAGTATTTATCAACTAATCATAAATGTAAATTCTAAATTAATTTCATGTAGAGTGATTCTTATACATATACATATATTTACATATATGTATATATAAAGTCAAAACTGTTAAAGCTTTCTGTACCTAAATCCAGTAGTGGCTCGCCAGGTGACGCAAGTGACGCACCGCGTCACCTAAAATTTCCGTTTGGTTGTGCAATTTAAAATTATTTATAATTTTATATAAATTTTATAATTTAGGTATAATTCTATATTGAAAATATATTGTGTTCGTTTGTTTAATACGCAGAAATAAACAAAATAGTAGCACGGTGAATGCCTTCTAAAAAACCATTACCTTCGTTGAGTGCGAAAATCAACCTCGTACCATATAACGTATAGTATAAGCAAGTGACACAGATCGAAATCAGTCTGTATTCCGCTTCTCTTCGTAGCGTTGTTTACGGGGGTTGTCATGGCAACGAGGCGGCCAACACGGGAGTAAACTACGGCGTGGGAGAACGAGTGACACGGCAATTGAAGCAGTATTGTCATCGACCATCGCCTGCCTTTAAAAAGTTTATACGATACGCGTCGCCCAGTGCACGATTCTTAGTTAACATTTGTTTTGTATAATAATAATATTTTAGAAATGTTTCCTATGTATGATCCAGTATGTATTTTATTGGAAACGCCATTTTCCAGATGGAAGATAGAGGACAGAAAGGATTTTTTAAATTGCGAGAGACTTGTGCCTTATTCTCTCGATATAAAAAAGGGGGAAGTCAAAAAACAATGTGTACATTCGGAAGTTTCGGAATCGGAATGAATGGTATTCGGAGTATAAGTGGTTGTGCGGAAGTGTTTACTTAAAAAAAACTTTTCTGTGTGCCGTGTTTAATTGTGGGTGTAAAGACGGGCGTGTGGAATAAGGAGGGATTTAGCAATTTTGGGAACGTAATGTGAGGCTATCGTAACCACGAAACTTCTTTTAAACATACATACACGGTGTGCGTTAATGTTCGCAGAAGTCCCTAAGCCGAACCAATATTTCTATTTTTTATAAAACCCAAATAAAAATTCTTCTCGCGAACATCAGTTTTTCGATAATATTGCAAAAAAATGCAACTAAAAAATTCCAGATTCATTTAAAGCCGTTAGACCTTGAAAATTTTCACCTTCGGCGCTTTTTTTCTTTTTAGTCAATCAATGAATATGCCTCACCTATTCTCAATGTCACGAGCCGCCACTGCTTCATTTTTAATTCTCAAGCATGGTAACTGTTTTAAATAAATATTTTTTCACATTTATAACTTAATTTACTCTCCTTCCTATAAATATTACAAATTATATAAAATAATCCTTCATACCATTATTTACAGAATCTCGACGCTCTTCATGATCACTTGGGCACACTGTATCCAGGAATGAAGGCACCGTCATTTAGATGTACAGAAAGACAAGAAGATGGTGCATTAATTTTGCATTATTATTCAGATAGACCCGGACTAGAACACATTGTAATAGGAATAGTAAAAGTAAGTAGAAATGATTGTTATACAGTGCCCTTTTGTAATGTAAGCTGGGTCACACATCTCACACTGGAGCGACAGGCAGCAATAAGCAACTGGCGATAGACAACGGGAAATAATATTGTACGTTTGGGTTCAAAGATGTACTTAGGCAATTCACTTGCCTTTGAGTTTAAAAGTTTGGTTTTAGACATTTATGAGGGTTTCAACTGACCCTAGATTGCTTTGCACTTGGTTTTATGAGCACGGTCGAGTCTGATACACTAGTGGAGCGGTATTCAAACTGTGTTCTGCGGAACTCTGGGGTTCCCCACAACCTCTCTGGGGGTTCCGCGACTCGGTCAAAAAGCATATCCCAGTCTTTCTTTAATTATCTGATAAATATTTACTTACTAAAAGCTTTGAGCTCTGGTATTTTTTCTAGAGAAATATAACTGAAAATAGTTGACAATAAATAGTATGGAAAGGCTCTATACAATGGAAAGATGGTAATAATTTGGAACGAGTTCACATTCTGGCCAGATTCCGAATGCTGATTATTGAACCCCAGCAAACTTGTCCACCTTTTTAGAAATTCACCATGCTTTCGATTTTTTGGTCACGAACCATTGCCCAGTATGTGGTGGCATTGTTATGTTGGTGTACCTTTTTTATTTCCAAAATCCGAACTGGGACGATTTTTCGTCTTTAGATCGCGACTTTTACGACTACTGCGCCAATAGCATCTTCCTCCGCCGGCGTCATCTCCTGCTTCGGTATTTTGGACCTGCTTGGAACTGGCGGTGGAAATTTTGGAGTGTAGTGAAAATTTCAATCCACGCGCTGAGCTTTCTGCTATAGTATAATTTTTAAATAAACTTTTATATTAGTAAAATGTTCATTATCAGAAATTTTTTGTTTCTTAGAAATTAGTAGACATAAATATATTTACAATTTTTCGTAGTCTTAGATAGCCTATATGCCCTCACTTTCTCACAATGTTTTCAGTATCTATATTTATTATTAATTCTATAACTCTATTTTTTGCTTTACGATTTTTTTACTTTTTTAAATTATCTGTGTTTACAAAATACATCATGCATAATGTGGATAAGATAAAAATATATTTGAAAAAATGTTATAAAAACAATTTAAAAACATGTCTAATATCGTTTTTTAATAGACCGTAGCGAGTAAACTTCATGGTACTGATGTGGAAATGAATATTTTAAAATCTAGAGAAGAATGTGATCACGTCCAGTTCCTTATAACTGAAAAATCTAGTTCCAATAAAGGTGATGTGCAACAAATCGATGAAATACATACATTGTCACTAGGTAAGTTTTTTAAATCTATTTTTCTATTTTTATTTATCAAATTTTTCAACAAACTGTGCGAAACAGGAAAGCTTCCCAGTGCTAGTATAACACCTGAACAACAATGTTTCTCTATAAGCTTTAGGATTCGTATTCTTATTCTCTGTAGGAGGTTTAACAGGAGTAGTTTCAGTTAATTCATCTCTTGATATTATTTTACATATACCCTCTATGTTGTTGCTTATTTTCACTACGTTCTATCTATAGATGCAGTATTTGCAATTATAGCAGGTATTGTTCAATGATTCCCATTAATTACAGGATTAATTCTTCATAATAAATTTTTTAAATTCAATTTTTTATAAAGTATATTTATTGGAGTAAATGTAAAATTTTTGCCTTAAAATATAGGTATATTGAGTTTACTAAAATGCACAGATGTACTTGAAATTTATATAGCGTATTACCCAGTGCTCCCTCTGTGCATCATATTTTTTTGAATTTTTTGTTGTTGAAAGTTGTTCATTTTAACATAGGTTTATATGGCGAAGATGGACGGTGCGGCTCTTTTTTTGTCCATAACTGAGAACAAATTTAGAAATTGTGAAACAAAACTTTTCCATAGATTGTACACAGTATTATCTTATTTTTCTCTCGATGGAGCCGGCACGATCGGAATCAAAGTCTTCGTCGGAGGTTCTCAGCCTCGGACGGTATGCAGGTCTCTGGAGTAGCCTGAAATGTATCGCTGTTTCGTCGCAGGGGGCGATCGAACAGGATCTTCGCCTTAGGTTGGGCTACCTCGGGCGGTACGCAGGTCTCTGGAGGAGCCTGGGGTATCGCTGTGTCGATGCGAATGGCGATCGCACAGGACCTTCGTCGGAGGTGGTCAGTCTCGGACGGTATTTATTTATTTATTTATTTATTTATTTATTTATTTATTTATTTATTTAAATTATTTGTCCAACAGTGAACCACCAATTACAGGACAAAGTATATAATATATTATTTAACATGTGAGCATACAGAACAAAATGTAAAGAATAAATACAACAAACATACCGATAAGATAGTGTAACAACAAATGAAAAAGAAAATAAGAAGAAAGAAAAAGAAAAGCTGCAACTACTACCTATGTTAACAATCATGAATTGTTGACACTTCTAAAAGCTGTGTACAGATGTTGCAAGCTACAGTTGAATATATCACAAGAGTTACAGATTAAGTTATAATTGCGTGACATAAAAGAAACAGGAGACTTCAATCCCACATTGGTATTATAAGCAGAAGTATAAAAAGTAAGTGGAGAGCGGCAAGCCGACCTAACTGTTAAGAAATTCAATTGACTTAGAATCTCGGGACAGTCTACTTTATTGTTTACTAGTGCATGTAAAAATTTCAAACTATGGAAGTGCTTTCTGTATTGTAACGAGTCGAGTTTGAAACGTGTTAGTAGTATTTTATAATCGCATCCACGAGCAGGATATACGCCATCGGAGCGAAATGCGAGGTATTTCAAAAACTTTTTTTGCACCGAATCAATTAAACTGGCTTGGTTAATATAAAAAACAATCCAAGCCTGAGAACAGTATTCCAGTTTGGGACGGATAAACGCGTAAAATAATGAAAACAACACAACATTATCACTGAATTCACGACCTTGTCTAATCACAAAGCCCAGCGTACTAAGTGTTGAGGACACCAGATATTGAATATGATTTGAAAAGGTAAAGTTACTATCGAAATAAATTCCCAAATCTTTTATGGTATCTGTACGCTCTAAGACGTCCGAGTTAATTTTGTAATTGACTATAATGGGCTTAAGTTTACGTGAAAAAGAAACAACTTTACACTTAGAGATATTTAAATGCAAATTATTTGAATCGCACCAAAGGACTATTTTGTCCAATTGACTCTGAAGGTGAAGACAGTCATCATCAGTTAAGATAGAGGAGAAGATTTTTAAGTCGTCGGCATAAACTAGTTTGCGACAGTCAATGTAAGTCGTAATATCATTAACAAAGATGGAAAATAGGAGGGGACCTAGATTGGAACCCTGAGGTATTCCAGAAGTAATAGAATACTGGCTAGACTTAAAACCGTTGTAAGTGACATACTGAAGACGATTTGACAAATATGAGCTAAACAGTTGTAAAAAGTTGCCACAAAGCCCGTATACTTCGAGTTTATGGAGGAGTATGCCGTGATCAATGCGATCGAAGGCCTTCGAGAAATCAGTGTATATGACGTCTACCTGCCCACGCTGATCAATAACATTACATATGAACTGTGTGAAACACATCAGATTTGTGGTAGTTGATCTTTTTTCTATAAAACCATGTTGTTCAAGAGATATGATACTTCTGAAAAGTGGAAACATACGATTATACAACGACATCTCGAAGACCTTCGCAAAATTGCTTAACAAAGTAATGGGCCTATAGTTATTAATGTAAGAAGGGTCGCCGCCTTTGAGTATTGGACAAACACTTGCCACCTTCCACACGCCAGGAAAAGTTCCGGCTTTAAGAGTGAGATTAAATATATATCCCAGCGGGTTAGCCAAAACGAAACGACAATCACGAGCAAAGAAACTGGGAATTAAGTCCGGACCTGACGTGAATTTATTTTTAAGTTTTCCAGCTGAGTTTATAATTTCCTCATCAGTCAGAAAATTAACAGTTATTGAAGGAAACTTAGTACAATTAAACGTGCCAAGATTTCGATGTTCACCCGAGAGGGGCTTACTGAGAACGCTCCCAAAATAATCTCTACAGGATTCCACAATGGCGCCGGGGTCATTTAAAAGAACGTTGTCGGTACTGTGCATCGTGTTAGGAATTCTACTAGAGCCTGCCTTGCCGTTTACAAAACCGTCTAGGTTCTGTTCTAATGTTAGTCTCTATGTGTGACAGATAAGATTTATAGTGACGACTGGCGAGTGTTTTAACTTGAGTTCAAAAAACTTTAAACTGATTAAGATAAAATAAATTACCGTGTTTCTTATACTGCCTAAAGAAATACTCCTTTTGCTGAATAGATCGTTTCAACTCATGGCTATACCACGCGGAATATTTATGTTTTTTAGGCACGTACTGCGGCACATGGGTGTCGAGAAGAGAATATAACTTAATATAAAAGGCGTCGCAAGCCAAGTCGACATCCTCAAAAGCTTCTAAAAATGACCAGTCTACCACAGTCATAGCATCGTAAAGAGCGCGAAAATTAGCTTTTTTGAAATTGTATGACTTATGGAGTGAGTTAATTGGAAATCTCTGCTGATGTTCAGCTATTACATGTGTTGTAAAAACAAGTGCAGGATGATGAGAGTCTTCAGAGACAAGGGGAGCGTGATCGCGAGCAACGGTGCAACGTTTTACAGATAAGACAAGATCGAGAATTGAATTATTACAGTTAGTGACTGAATTGTGTTGAACAACTGATAAGAAGTCAATAAAGCTTTTCTATCGTAGGTCTCAAATGGATCCTGGAAATTTACCGCTGTTTCGATGCAGGGGGCTATCGAACAGGGTCTTCACCTCAGGCTGGGCTACCTCGGGTGGTATGTCTCGTGAAGCGAGTTGTAGTTGCTAGGCACTATTATCACGTCGAGGAATGGCAGTCTCGACGGAAGCCTCGTGAAGCGAGCCTGTGAGCTTGAGCTCCAAAGTTCTTGAGCTTGATGACGGTTTTTTCAATCAAACCGTGGAAGATATGTTAAAAGTATATATTGAACAGAATTAACAAACAATAAAGGTTCACAATTAACATATACAAGTTATTTACCATGAATAAGATTTGTTACACAATCGCTCTGTATCGCTTACGGAGGTCTTATTACTGGATGGATTTTATTGAGCAGTGGACTAGTGATGCACGGCATGTAGTAGTGCCGTGGTTGGAGGGTTCGGCCGAGATCGCGCGGACACCTTCGGCGGCAGCTATGAAGACGTGGAAACCTATTATGGCTTAGCTGGCCGTTAGTAGTCGCGCGATTCGGCTCGAATTTGGATACGACAACCACCTAGAGATACTCTAGTGTGGTTGGAGGGTTCGGCCGAGATCGAATGAGCGGAACGGTTGAAAACGCGGAAAACGTGAAATCCGCGTTTCCCCGTATAACGGCGTTTTGGCTCATCCGATTCGGACGAAAATTTAGTGAGATGTCAGCGACCTGAGGAGTGCTGCATTAAATTTTGACACCGATCGCTTAATAACTTTTCGAGTTATTGACGATAGCGTCCTTGACCAATTCGAAAGTGTGGTAAAAATTCTGGTGATAGTTTTCAAATATCGCCTCGAAGCGTACCGGGGTTCGTCTGCAGGTTGCGAGAGTAGCGGCAGTGGATACTGCGCGCCGGGATGGCAGACCCAGGCGAGATCGGTCGCGATGCGGGTGACATTGGAAACATCGGTGAAATTGAAATATGATTGTTTCGCCTCCTTCCCAATTCAACGGTCTCCGGCATATCCGTAGGTACAAGACTACTTCTATGAATATACGGGGTGTTCTGAAATCCTGAAGCTCGCTCAAAGGGTGGAATACGACACAACAGTATAATGTTTATATTTTCACATTAACAAACCGATAATGTAAATTAACTGCTATTTTCAGTAAAAATATATACCTAACCTGAATTATTTTTTTACTTTGGCGAGTCGTATTAACTTAAAAAACACTGCTTAATTACTAAAATATATAGAAACTCGCTATTAATTACGTAATAAAATATATCTATTTAGTCCATTGAAATGAAGGCTAAACCTCCACTTTTTCCTCTGTCGATCAAACCTGGGCGCAAATATGTTTTCGACCCTCAGGAATCCGAATCCGCAAAAATTTTTGACTTAGGTGGTCAGGCAAGGGGTCAAAAGGTCAAAACACCGTAAAAATAAGGTTTTTCGCAAATATCTCGTAAACTACGGCAAGTAGCAAAAAAATAATTGCACCATCGTGTTCCCAGGGAAATTTTACATCGATTTTATGCTATTGCTTATTAAAATGAAATAAATTTATGTCA